GGTGGGTTTGAACTACTGATCTTGTGGTTTGCAGTCCAGTGCTGATCCTACAGTGCAACACCACATTAGCTGTGAGTTAATTAAATGTTTGAATAAATATAGCATGCTGATTTTTAAGTTGATAACTTTGTGGCCCATGAATGATGTTTTAAATATGCAAATGACCCTTGGCAGAAGTGGCACTGTGGGCTAATGTGTCAGACTGCAAAGTCATTTGAACTGCAAGGTTGGTGGTTCAAGCTCACCAGCTGCTTTTTGGAAACCCTATACAGGGTATGCTATGGATCGGAAATGACGAGATGGCACTTAACAACAACCCCTAACCTACATGGATAATATGTTGAGAAACAATAGCTTCACACTATGATACTTTGTTTTATAACAGTTGCTAAATAATATTTTGTAGTGGTATATTTTGACTGACTCTCATATTTAGGGTTATTATGTCTTCTCAATGATTTGACCTCTTTATTATTATGAAATGTCCCTCTTTACCTTTGACAACATATTTGTTTTGAGGTATGCTTTTCCAAAAACCATTTAGTCACTCCATTTTCTGTAATTTGTTAACATAGTTAATATATCTTTTACTTTTAACCTAATTTACTGTTACTACTTGAAGTGAATGTCTTATGAACAGTATCAATCTTGCTTTTTTATCCATTTTGATAATTTCTCTTTTTAGTTGTAATATTTCAACTATGTACATTTAATATCATGTTTTTGTTGGTGCCAACTCATAGCAACCCTGCATAAGGTTATTTGTGAGTCTGAACTGCCAACCTTGTGGTTCAAGTTGACCTAGCAGGCCACTGCATTATCCTAATAGATAATATAAAGCCCAGCGCAGTTGACTCAATTTCAACTCATAGAACCCTAGAAGGCATGGTAGAACTGTTCCATAGGGTTTCCAAGGCTGCCAATATTTATAGTAATGATTGCTTCATCTTCTCCTGCAGAGCTGCAGGTGGATTCAAACCACTGACCTTTCATTTAGCAGTCCAATGTGTAACTCATTGTACCACCAGGACTCTTAGTAAACAAAATGGTTGGGTTTACATCTTAAAGTTTAGTATCTTTCCCCCCAACACCCACATATCTCATTTGTCCTTTTCTGATTTATTTTGAGTTAGTTAAATTTTTAATGATCTTGTCTCTATCACTGACATTTTATCCACACCTCTTTGCTTGCTTGCTTGCTTGCTTGCTTGTTTGTTTTTAGTGATTGCTTTTAGAGTATTGGTTCCCAAGTTACATTATTTTAATTTGTATGACCTGGGAATCAAGTTCCTTAGACTCAGCCAAGATCTTCTAAATCAGGTCTGGGTGTTGAACCCATTCAAGTGTGTTGAAACAAATAAAAACACTATTCTAGATTTATAGTGCTCGTTTTTTTCATATCATGATCTTCCTTTAAGTATTATAATATTTTGTTTTCTATAATACATTCATTTCCCACACTCTAGCCTTCTTGCTGTTGTTATTGTTTATCATACTTCTACATATGATATAAATTCATAATACAGTTATTATAATTTTTAACATCAATTATATCTTAAGAAATTGAAAATGAGATAAAGCATATTTTATAGATATTCATGGTTCTTCTGTTTTTGTGCTTTTCATTCCTGTGGTTAGATTAAAATTTTCATCTGATTTTTATTTTTCTTCTTTCTGAAGAACTTTCTTCAGTATTTCTTACAGTAGAGGTTTGTTGCAGATGGATTCTCTCAGCTTTTATTTATCATAAAATATATTATTTTATCTTCAGTTTTGAAAGATAGTTTTGCTTGAGATAGAATTCCAGTTAACTGTTATTTTTCTTTCAGTGCTTTAAATGTCACTGTCTTGCCTTCTGACTTGTATAATTGTGACATCAAGCGCTATGTCCGTCTTCTGTTTGTAATGTGTACAGTGTCCTTGTCCTTACCTGGTGGCTGCTTTTATGATTTTCTTTTTATCACTGCTTTTCAGAAATTTTATTATGAATTGCCTTGGTGTGACTGTCCTTTTTTTTTCCCCATGAGATTCATTAAATCCTTGGATCTGTAGTTTTGTTTTCATAAAATTTAGGGGGGGGGGAAATGACAATTTTTATTCATATAATTTTTATCTTCCTCTGTATCTCTTCTGTAGTTGGAGCACCAATAAAAGCAGATTAGACTAGTTAATAATATTCAACAGGTTTTTTTGTTGTTGTTGTTAAAGTTTTTATTGTGAGTTGAGTAAAAGTTTACAGGGTAGATTAATTCAACAAATCATACACCTTGTTTCATTGCAATGATTATAATTCCCTCAATGTACCATCAGTTAACAGATTTTCTCTCTATTCATCTTAGCTCTTTATTTTTTAAATACTCAGGAATATATAATAACATAAAAAAAAACAAAGGGCATATTTTGCAACCTTGCCTCCTGGCTGCCAGCACCCAGTTCCTCACTTTCCATGAGTCTAGAGTCCTCAGCTGCTCCTTCTCTCCATGTCCCCATCTCTGCCTCCATCTCTGGTGTCGCTGCTTCTCTGGATAGGTCTCAAATTCCGCTTGTGCTCTTCTCCCGTGATGGTCACAGGGTCCTGTGTTTCTGCACTGTAAGATTAACCACTCTCCCATTTTTGTTACAAAACTTCTACCTTTGCAATTGTGACAGTCGCAATTAGTCATGATAACAGTTACTCACTATTGAATCTCCTTTTACCGGACTCTTCTAGACAAGATGAAAACTATTCAATGGGGACTCTCTCTTCCTCTACACACTCTTAAACTAAACTCCCTCTTGAAAACTTGTAAACCAGTCACTTTGTGCCTTTTATCACCCCCTCATTTTAAGTAGGTGGAGGTTCAGAGAAAAAGAGGAAGACCCCCAGCAAGATAGATTGGCAAAGTGGCAGCCTCAATGGGCTCGAGCATGGCAACAATAGTGAGGTTGGCAAGGATCTGGCAGTGTTTCGTTCTGTTGTGCCTAAGGTCGCTATGACTTGGTACTGACTTGATGGTAACTAACAACAACAACATTTTAGGTAGCTAGTGTCTAAGTTGCCCATCCCTATCGACCCTGTTTACAGAGGGGCTAACATTGATATTTGATGTGAAGACTCCTTCCCTCTCTGTTGATATTTAGAGCTAATACCTCCATAAGTATAATGAGCTGTAGTAGCGTAGTGCTTACGAGTCAGGCTGCCAACCTCAAGGTCAGCGGTTCGAAACTACCAGCGGCTCCGTTGGAGAAAGATGAGGCTTTCTGCTCCCGTAAAGATACAGCCTTGAGAACCCTGTGCAGGGTCACTATGAGTCGGAACTGACTCCACAGTACTTAACAACAACAACCTCCATAATTATAGGTCAAATTAATCTAGAAATTGACCCTCGTTTCCTTTATCAAAAAAAAAATTTTAAGCTTCCTGTGTAAATTCTGGAAATTGTTTGACCTACTGCTCATTGTTCAGTTCCATTGAGTCAGTTCTGGCTCATAGTGACCTTATATAGGGTTTCCAAGGAGCAGTTAGTGGGTTTGAACTGCCAACCTTGTGGTTCACAGTCCAGCACTGATTCTACAGCGTCATACCAAAAGTGTTTCTTTATTCACACTCATGAGCAGAGAAGTACTCAAACATTTGAGATCCCTGGATCTCAGATATCACCGTCTACTACAGAACTCCAGAGATTCTCAGTGTGAAGCCCCTTTCTCTCCTATAATATGCTTTACATATTCTGGCTTCCTTGGTCCGTGAAGCTTATTCTTTAACATGTTGACCCAGTGAGACTCCTAACCTCCTCTACATGGATTTCTCCCTTAGTTTCTCCTGGAAATGAAATCTAGGCAATAAGCTTAGACAGTTGCAGAATTCAAATTATTTAATCCTTTTCCTCAGGGAGCCCAAGTCTATGCAGCCTCTTGTTCAGTGTCTGAAAATAATTGCTTCATATATTTTTCTTGTTTTGTTTTTTCTAGTTTTGTAATGCAAAACAACAAACATTACCCCATTAAAAGTCCTATTTCCATAATTTTCTCTTTCATTTTCCCAGGTGAAATATTTTAATAAAACCATTTTTTTGTGTGTTTACTATGAATATTTGACACCCATTTAAATGAATGCATTGTCCAATTTCAGTATCATTCTCAGGTAATAGGAATAAACTGTAGTTTTCTAAATAATATATGAATTGTCAACCATTTTGATATTCTTGGAAAACAAAGAAAATTAATAAATTTTTGAAATAACTGTCACTTCCTGTGATTTATTTAGTTTAATTGAATGGAATATGTGTAATTTACCTTTTAAGATCTTATGGTGTTGTTATTGTTGATAAGTGCTATTAAGTGGGTTCCAACCAATAGTGACCCTGTATAGGACTTTCAAGGAGTAGCTGGTGATCTTGAACTACCAACCTTGTGGCTCAAATCAACTTTGCAGTCCAGAGCATTAGCCCATGGTGCCACTAGGGAGCAATAAAAGCTATTTAGCATTAGTTATAATTATTGCAGTGTAAAATAAAAAGTAGTATCCTAATGAATATGTTTTTTGGCTTTCAATGTGGATATAAATTTGTCATTTAAAATTATCCTTTTAAATTGATCAGACCTTTATTCCCTTATTTATCATTGCCGATAAAAATCCATATGACATCTTTACAAAATATATGTAAAAAGTAAGAGAATGGACACTATCATATGAACTAAAAGTCATCTGCCCTTCATTTGGTTTCTGGCTTCACCAACATACTGTAATGAATAAGTTAAGGCAAGCCACTCATTCTCTGTTGGATAAGTGACTATGTGCTTATAGTTACATTCTCTGAATTATTTTTAATTCTAATATTAAAAGTATGAGGGCAAAAAAATATTTTCCTGGTAGCCACTTATACATGGAGATAATTTGGAAGTGTTTTTAATATAGAGATTTGTGGGGAATTGTGTTTCTAATGCCTTTAACCATGCTCATAAACACTCTTCTTGCCATGTTCTGCTTAATTTTCCATTTCCTCCTCCTTTTTTCCCAGGAAAACAGTTGGTGTTTTCTGCTGTGGGCCCAATTCAATTTCCAAGACTCTTCATAGACTGAGTAACCAAAACAACTCTTACGGGACAAGATTTGAATACAATAAAGAATCTTTCAGCTGAAAACCTTTCAGATGAACCAGGACTCTTAAAAAAAAAGGAATGAGTGCAATTTTTAAGACATTGAAACTCACCTGAATCAAACAGCTATGTCATGCCAAAGAATAGCAAGGCTTTCTTATTTATGATTATTTAAAATGGAAATGAAGATAATGTGGCAAGATAGCAGGTAATAGTCCATCTTTAATCTGGAAACCAAAAAGGCCCTGCAGAACATTTGATGTGATGATTCACTTTTCAATGCTGGAATTAAAAGAAAACTATTAGACTCACACTGTTGATTTTTATGGCAGATTCAAGAAGTCCCTAGTGAGACGTTGAATTTGCTCACAGTGAGCGTGTTAGCCTCAGTCTTTGTTAAATTGTTTTTGTTTGAACAAATGCAAGATTGAACAAAATTAAAAATTCATTGCAACTGAGATTACATTTTCTATGTTACATAAAAGCAGAGTAACTTTAATTTGTAAAAGCTCCACGCAAATGTGTTAGATGCTTAAAAATACAGCACAGAACTCTGTATTGATACGGGTACTTTGTGCCAAAAGCTATTCTTCCTCACTACTGATGTTAATACCTCTACTAAACATAGACTGTAAGCTGCCTGACCCTTTTGCAGATGTTGGGATAGCATCCATTGTTATGTTTTTCTTTCTTTTTTCCTCCAACAAAGAAATCTGCCTTCCTTTGGCATTCATTAGACAACATGGTTTACTAGATCCATTTCATGTCCAGATTATTTGATCTTTTATTATTATTGTATAGCAATGAAATAGTATAATTACTTTCAATTATAAAGGGACTTATATACTAATATATTTTTTTTCCTTTATCAGTATTTCAGTCTTTTCTTTTCTTTTTTTTTTTTTTAATTACCATTCCCCAGGCACATTTCCTCTTAGCTTTTACCCTGTTAAGGTGCTTTGTTTGATTTGCATTTTACGGCATAAGGGCATCCCGTCTGTCTGTGAGTCAGCACTGAAATACAAGATCTCTCTCTTGTGTTGTCTCACACGCTTTGGTATATACTGGAGATATTGAAACTTCCTGGATAGGAACAGTATATTTTACTGTACCACAGGAAATGCTTCATTAGTTATTCAAGTTTAAATTCAGTATCAAGAATATGATTGTTGCTCTGTCTGGAATCCTGGGTCTCAATAGGGAATTATTTGATTTAAAGACACTATTGGGACAATGCTGTGTAAGTCCATCAGTTTATGCTTCTGGGCCATTGTATTCTTGGACAAATCTATTTCACCACTTTTAGAATTAAGGCATTTGTATAGTTTAGTGATTTTTTTGTTGTAGACATCTATCAATTGCTAGCAAATATAGTACATTGCTGAAATCAGCAGTATGGTTTTTCTTGCCTTTTTAAAAAATTTGCATGCTGTAATATAACATGACAGATGCTACTGTCATTTCTTCTTCTTCTTCTTTTTTTTTTTTGCTACAATTCACCAATTGCAATCAAGCATGCTAAGCTATCTAGGCTGAATGCTTAAAGCACATTTACTTAGAGATATTTGTTCCTCTCCTTGGAATTTTTTTTTTTTTCCCTTGCCTTCTGTGGAAGGAAGGGGAGTCTGAAAAGGTAATGGGATATGTGCAATGTGTCCTTCAGATTTAGCTCTGGGAGCATTTTTAATAAACAGGACATCTTGGCATCACTTTTTAAATTAAAAAGAATTTTCATTAAAAAAAATATGTATTCAAAGGAACTAGTAAAAATAACCTTTCCAATGTGATAGTCCAGACAAGATGTGCAATACTTTGGCATAACTTTTTACTAATCCTAATTTATTTATGTGATTATGTTAATACACAAAATTTTAATAAAACAATGGGAGATTTTTCAAAAGAACCACGATCATTCAGTATAGGGCTACTCTTCTAGATGAGCCTCCCTGCCTATTTTTAATCCCATTTAGATGTTTATGCCACTATTAAAAATTAAGCATAAGTATATGTTTTGTAGGTAACTTCCTCATCTGTGTTTAAAAAGAGCTGTTTTGTTTGATGGATTCTTTCTTTGAGGTCAATCCTTGTCATAGAAATCTTAGATCATTCATTTTAATGACAATGAATGTTAAAAGTGAAATGGTGTACTTTAAATCTCTTTTAACTCACTTTTACTTGCAACAAATAAAGCAGCAAAGGTTGTTCATAAGAAGAAACATATGTAAGGAGCATGATCTGTTTATTCCGAAATTCACATGTGAGTGTACTATAGCATGAATAGTCCTAGGAATTTGGGTTCCAGGGTTGTAACTGTCACTAGTTAGTAGTATGAAGACAGCAAATTACTTCTCTGGGGTTCAGATTTTTCATTTGGACCAAGTCAATAATTCCTACTATTTGGATGGAAATGTATCTTTTGAAAACTGGTTAAAATGTTAATATTATTCTATAAGTACAAAATTGTGTAGACAGTGTTGAGCTGCCACAGGCAATCTCCACAAGCAAGTAACCAAGATTAAGATCTTCTGAACAAAATGATTATGTTAATACACCATAGGTCTTGCTATTTTGTTTGGTTTGGTTTGGTTTGGTTTTGGGGAAGAAGCTATCAATTTATATAGGATTATACTAAAAATTAGCTTAGTAGACAAAGAATAAGACTTCAAACAAAGAATCAAATGAAAATTTTATCAACTTTTAATGTTACTAATTGATGATTTATGGGTAATAAGGCTGTGATACATAATAATAAAACGACTCAATCAAATATACAAGGGTAAGTAAAAAACTATTTCTATAAAGTTATAGAAACTTTTATTAAACAAAAATATAAAAATGTGAAGCTATTGTTTCTTGGCATTCTCCATCTAGGTCTAGACACTTTTGAAGAGAGGGTTTCCATCTCTCTAACCTTTCCCTAAGGAGCTCTGGTAGCGTAGTGGTTACGAATTGGGCTGCGAACCGCAAGGTCAGCAGTTTGAAACTACCAGCTGCTCCGTGGGAGAAAGATGAAGCTTTCTGCTCTCAGAAGGATTTACAGCCTCGGAAACTCTGTTCAGGGTCGCTATGGGTTGGAACCAACTCGATGGCACTTAACAACAGCAACCTTTCCCTGAAGAATTCTGTGCTCTGACTGACAACAGTACAAAACAACAGCTTTGACATCCTTGAGGGACCTAAATTGTGTTCCTTTTTAAATATTCTTTGAGTTTGAAGAGCAATAAAAAAAGCCTCAAGAGCCAACATCAGGGATGGAGGGTAGATGGGGTTAGGTCTCCCAACAATATTCTCATAGGACAGCCCTGTACCTTTGAAGAATAACAGGTCCATTGTCAGGTGATGGAAAAATATTCCTCGGGGCTACTTTCCTGGCCTTTTTCTCACCAATGCAACTTTCAGTTTCCTTAAGACTTCTTTCTGTTAAGCCTTTGTGATCATTCAGTGTCCATTTAAAAATTCTTATCAAGCTTACCCTTTGGTGTCTCAAACGATAGTTGCCATAACCTTCTGAGCTGATCTCTTCCTTGAATTTAACTGGCCTACTAAGAAAAGTGTATTATTGAGAGAACTTGTCTTCAGCCTTCTACTGATCTCAGAGACATGTTTAAACACAATCTGGAATAAACTCATGTATGTTGAACTGAAACTCTAGTGCACTATTTTCATATTACTCATGTGTGTATCTGTTTATATTTATATATAAAATGGGTGTTTTTGCATACGCACATATACCAACATATATGCACTTGGGACTTAGCTTGATTTTCTAAAAAAAAAAAAAAAATGTATTCAGGTTAGAAATGAAATGATTGATAGCTCTTCATTTAGTGACTTGGATACCCTGTGACAACACAGGCACTTAAAAAGAAACTAAAATCAGTGGAGTCAAAGCATAGGCTGAATTAATTTAATCTATAAAAACCTACTATTGTCAAATCAATTACAACTCTTAGCAACCCTATAGGATAAAGTAGACTGCTCCCTCGGATTTCTGAGGCTGTAGATCATTACACTGGTAGCGTAGTGGTTACGAATCAGGCTGCTAATCCCAAGGTCAACAGTTCAAAACTACCAGCTGCTCCACGGGAGAAAGATGAGGCTTTCTGCTCCCGTAAAGATTTGCAGCCTCGGAAACCCTGTGCAGGTTCGCTATGAGTCGGAACGGTCTCCATGGTACATAACAACGACAAAAAAAGATCATTACAGTAGCAGACTGCCTCAACTCTTTTCTGCAGAGTAACTGGTGGGTTCAAACCACTGACCATTCAGTTAACAGCCCAATGCTTAACCACTGCACTACCAGATTCCTTAATCTGTACAGCCATGTTATTTTTAAACTCCAAAATCAGTGTTCACTTGGAGTATTCACAGCAAGTAATAGATTTACATTTTTAAATAGATACGCTAGAGGCAAATGAACAGTTGCTATTAATAGATGATGCTGGTGCTAAAGAATGTTGTATCAAAGAAAAAAGAATATAAAAATGTTTTAAGAATTCATGTGATTTTTTTTTCCCCCAGTGAGAATGGTTACTCAGTTGGTTAGTGATTTTACTAAACAAATGAGACACATCTTTAAAGCATTACTCACTGTAAACAGTCCCCTTTTCTTATACCATGTCAGATATTTTCTTTTCCAGTTATATTATAGATGTATGAAATGCTAAAGTTAGATGAACTCTTATTTTTCAGTTGAGGAATTTGAGACCCAAAGCAGACAGTAACTTCCATCAGCACACCTTTCTTAATTTTAAACCACTCAGTACCCCCTTGCTATGTTCAGACAACTGTCTGTCTGTAGTTCCAAAAGAATACAGTTAAGCGTTATAGAATTCTCATTCTTTTAAATGTTATCTATAATGTTTTATGATCCCCACAGTCAAATGCCTTTGCATAGTTAGTAAAACACAGGCAAACATCATTGTAGTATTTTCTTCTGCTTTCTGTTGCGATCGATTTGATATCAGTAATGATATTCTTTGTTCCACATCCTCTTCTAAATCCAGCTTCAGTTTCAGGCAGTCCCCTGTCTATGTACTACTACTGCTGTTTTTCAGTTATCTTCAGCAAAATTTTTATTGTATATGCTATTAATGAGATTGTTTGATAATTTCTGCATTGTGATGGATCACTTTTCTTTGTAATAGGTACACATGGATTTCATCTAGTGTGTATCTCTTCTAGTCGGTTGGCCACATTTCTTGGCATAAATGAGTGAGCCTTCCAACATTGCATCCATTTGTTGAAACATCACAGTTGGTATTTTATCAATTTGGGGAGCCATAATTTTTCTAATGCCTTCAGTACAGCTTGGATTTCTTCTTTCTATACCATTGGTTCTTGATCATATGCTAACTTCCTGACATGTTGAACATCAACCAATTATTTTGGTACAGTGATTTGGTATATTCCTTCCATCTTCCCTTGATGCTTCTGTGTCATTGATTGTCTTGCCCATCCCAAATGAAATCCACTGGTATCAAGTCAATTCTGACCCATAGTGACTCTGTAGGACAGAGTAGAAATCCTCTATAGGGTTTCCAAGACTGTGCATCTTTATAAGAGCAGACAACCTCATGGTTCTCCCATAGAGCAGCTGGTGGGTTTGAACTGACAGCCTTGTGATTTGCAGCCCAATGCTTAACTCTGCCACCAAGGCACCTTATTTTGCTCATAGAATCCTAAAGTTGTTCAACTCAAGGCATGCATTTTTTTTTCTTTATTTCTTTCAGCTTGAGAAAAGCTGAGCATCTTTGCACATTTCATTTTACTTTGTCTTCTCAAGATGCCATTTAAATTATCTGTTCATATCTTTTACTTCATCATTTCTTCCATTTGATTTAGCT